ACTGGATTGTGTGGTTTATTACCTTATTCAATGCTGAACTGACAAACTGACAGCAGCCACATTAAGTTCAGTTTCTCAGATTTGCAGATTTCTTTGTTCTGCCAGCTTCAGCACTGGAAAAAGACACCTCTTTGCATCCACATGTTCACAGAATGGTTTGGGTTGAGGTGTAAGATTTTGTTACCTTTATTACAGTCCCTTGAATCTAAATCAAATAGATGGCACTACTTCAACATACTAATATGCCATCAGTCATTTTGTATGCTAGTTTTTTATGCCAAATCACACATTTTACCACAAGATAAAGGCTTTGTGGATCAGAGTTCCTATCCCTGCCTTCAGGATGCAATTACTTCCATAATTATTTCATTTCTTAATATTTAAAATAGCTTTTTGGAAGCCGTTTTATTTCCATTTGGTTAATATGGTTCTGAAGCCTCAGAAACCATCTGGTTTCTAACCTCACTTAGTTTCCATTTTATTTTCCTGTGTTACCCTTTAAACAGCTGTTGTTTGACCCCCAATCCTCTTTGTGTAATAAAACTTTTTAAGAAGCTATATTTACCTGTTCTACTAGATACTAAGATTTTTAACTTAAATAGGCAAAAATCTCCAGCTGGTGCATAAACTTTTTTTGGCATGTCACTCTGGCTAATTCTTGTCTGTTTGTATGCTAAGCTGTCAAAGTGCCAGTGAAGGAGGCTTTTGATGCTAATAACACTAACCCAATACCAGTGAAGATAGACAGTAAGTCTCACCAAGAAGTATGTCAACATCTAGTACTTAATTTTGTTTGCAGTAGCTGGCAGCTTGCACTGTTACCTCTTGTCACCAAGATCAAGGAGATGTTTTAACAGGCTACTGTTCTTGCAGCCTATCCATTTCCCAGACACGGTGTTTCTAGACATCTTTTATGCTTTCATGATTAACTCACAACATAAACAGCAGTTTAAATGGTTTTCACAGAGTAAAATAGTTTTTACTTTTCTAAATCAGTCAGACATATGTTGGGAGTTGGTCAATCCTGTAAGCAAAAGAAGCTCCATCCTTTCACTTGGCATTGAAGTTACTGTCTCACTGTAACCGGCAGAGTCATAACCATAACCGGTTATGCCCTTTGTTCTAGCCCTACTGCTTTTGGAAGGATTGGGCCATCTTAAAGGAGAAGGTTTAAGTATGGTCTTCAGAAGTTCCAAGTTAAATCTTAATGCTTGCTTAAAGTGTTTTCAATGTCAAAACTCTCTGCCTAGGACCTTCCAAGACATGAGAAGTTGGTGGTTTATTCACTTTATCAATGAATGATGAAGCTACTTAGCACAACTGGCTTAAGTTGTTTAGGAATCACTAATTACCTTGTTGCACAAGCCCAGAACCTTGCATCAGCCTACTTAAAGGGGAGGGGGAAGGCTGTTGCTGTGACCAAAGTGTACGATGCAGGAAAAAAACAGATGCCATTCGTCAATAAAAAATGATGTGTTATTTTACCAGCTTATTCAGCAAGCCAGTATTCCCTTGCAAGAGTCAGTTATGAACCTAAGAGGCACCATGTAGACTGTGACACCATGTATTCAAATACACTTAACTTTTACTCTTGCTTTTATGGGTATGTTTTTTCCTTACAGAAAGACACTTGTATCTCATAGTACCTTTTATTATGATTTAGCACAAACTTCACACACACTGATGCATGGATTTTTCTTTTCCAGTTCTGAAACAGGCAGCATAACCTACCCCTAGCTAACAGCAGTATTTTGGGTTATATTGCACACTAGTATCTCTCATTACTGCAGTGATTATACTTACAAATACTCAAGTACTGTATTTGCCACAGAATAAGCCACAAAACTTGCAAAATAACCACACTTGGCATGGCAGCTGGTGAATATTTACACACAGCCAATTAAACCAAGTTAACGACAAGCACCACATGAAAACTCATACTGTAAACGACAGTAATTTTTTTCTGCTCTCTAATGTACTGACTTATGTTACCTGTCTGAAAAAAAAGACACCGATTTGCTTTTGTCAGTAGAAAGGAACATTAAAGCACTCCTTTTATGTTTAAATACAGACATAAGCTACGGTATACAACTAATCTCTATTAGCCTGATTTGAGTGTCAAGTCCAATGCAGAAAACCATGTCTAAAAGAGTACCTGACAAGTTCCTAGAATGAAAGACAAAACTTTATTAGTAGTTACATAAATGTAGTAATTTCAGCTCAGAAATGGTTCCAGTTACATTATTATTTGCAATAAATAGCATCTTCTAGGAAGACTCCTAACATAAATTCTGTAATAGCTCACCCGTCCACCTACAGGGGGAAGCACTTCCATACACAGACAAACTACTGATGTATAGCTCATCTGCACTTGATTTGTAGCCTGTGCAAAAGAAAAAAAAAATTACTTGCCTTTTCTTCCTCCTTTTTTTGAAGTGTATTTCTAAGCTTTAAGGTTTACTCCCTTGCCTTGGGGAGTTCGGGACCTAAAAGTTATATGAAATGGGTTCTCCTTTGCTGCAGAAGTACGGGATTTGTATTCTAGTTAGTGATCAATGACAAGCAGTAAAGGTTAAGATATTAACTGACCTCTCTATCCCATTTCCCTTCTTCTAGAAGAAAGGCTACCTCTCTCAAATCTCATAAATAGCTCAGAAGACTAAAGCAGTTGTCACTTTATTACCACCACCTGAAAGCTCCAGCTGACTGCGGCCCATTATTAGTATATTGAGGGGCAAAACTAGTTTCCCTTAGGCTTAGAACAGTAATAGGAAATACGCCTAAGCACTCAAGTTATTTCAAGAACATTAGAACTGCCTAAGGAAAATTTAAATTCAGCATAGAAAACACATGTGCTCACTCTCCGAGAGGTGCACACACTCTCAATTCCTTTCATGTGTATGCACTTCCGTTTGCCCACAAGAGACCAAAAAAGAAAAGGAAAATTAACATCATAAGGATAGCATCATTAAGGAAACAGCTGACAGCACAAGTGCTCAAACAGTACCTGTATCTGATGCATCTGACACTAAGACTGTTTACATAAAGGACACAGCTGCAAAAGTGTTACTCATACACATGAAGCGAGAACAATCTTTTTCTTTCCCTCCCCAAATTAGCAACCTGTAAATTAGACTGTTCATGTTTTGCTGAATTTCTAAACAATCTACTCAGTTAACTTGAAAGTTTGAACCACGGAACAGAGAATCTGGATGTGCATCTCAGCAGATTTGCCAAGGTAAATTTGTTTTGTACCGTGGTAGCATTTTGGTTAAGAAAATTAAAACCACAGGCCTAGACCCGTTTCCAGCACGGCAGTTCCATGCTGCATACACACTCTGCTGAGTACTGAACCTGTTTAATGCCTCAGGCAGTAACAGTAAGGAAATATTTTGCCATAATACATTCCTTAAAATGCAAACAAAGGACAATTCTTTTGCACAGAGGGACAATCTCTGCTTGTGCATGGATCAGCATGTATAAATTGACACAAGATGCAAATGAAAATCCAGTGCTTACTCCAAGGCTACGAGGCACTTCAAGTATCAACACACTGCCTGCCTTCAAAGAGAGGCAGTATCTTACCAGTTCCAAACCGAATATATTCTTTATTTTCACAGAATCATAGAATAGCTTGTGTTGGAAAAGACCTTTAATCGAGTCCAACTGTTAAGCTAGCATAGCTATGTCCACCACAGCGGACTCTGAACCATATATGACAACCTATATCTGGTCTCCTCTGCTTTTAAGTGCAGATGAGACTGTGAAATTAGGATGGGTATATTCCCAACAAAGAATCTGCCAGCACTCTTTCTGTGTATGAAGAAAAACAGTATGTGGAAGAAGAACCTGCTTCAAACCCATCATAACCCAAACCAGAACTGGCGTCAGAACTCCACCACTGCATTTGCACCTTGACAGCTTGTTTTCCAACCCTTTCACTCCAGCTATGACACGACATGCTGCAACAAAGCAATGGTTCTAGAAAGAAAAATTATATGCAATCAAGAAGCGAGGCTTGCTATAATCTCTCCTAAAGTCCTGACAAAATCATGCTTGGCCCAGTGACACAAATATGATATACACACAGTGATGATACCACAAATTCACAAACACAGAAACTATTATTTTCACATCTGTGCAAGTTACATATTAAGAGCAAGCCTCATCTTATGTAAGAAGAATGACCTCTCCTTCCAAGGACATGAAAGGATCAAACTAGTAGAATTAGAAGCAGCTCAAAACTAAACCATATTCAACTTTCAAAACATAACTAAAACATTGTTAGCAACAAAGATGTTAAAGCATCACCTAGAGAACAGAATTTAGTAAGCAACTTCCACTTACTACGGCCTTGGGTATAGGAAATTGGTTTAATGTTTCTCATTTGTTGAAGTGAGAAATAGCCAAATCATGTGTACTTTCTCATGGCACATGAGCTTACCACCAATCCAAAGATCTGAGCCCCACAGTGTGTGTGCGAGGAGGAGTAGCCCAGGGAATTCTGCAGCATTGAGGAAAGCAGGTTTATGATTCCTGTCGTTGCTTTACTAGAGAATCTGTCTTTTGTTTTTCTTGAAAGAACAACCTACTAAGCTTCAGCAGCAGCTTTAGAAACATAAAATAAACAGAGCACAAGTGACTGACTTCACGAAACTGAAGGATGCTGCTGACTACGCTGACATGTCCTAAAAGATAAGTTTATAGATAAAGGCACACTGGATACAGTATTTAGCAGAAGCATTAATAGCAGCGTGGCCAATAAAAAGTTGTTCCTTATACAACTCTTTTGTTTAAAATGTATGTTTCTGGGAATATAATTCCTTCTAGAACATTTTGGGAATTTGTGCGGAATGGATTAAGCCCAACATCCCAATTTGAAAAAGAAAACAAAACTCATGTTTTGAGTGGGCCTTAACTTTCTTCAGGAATGCTTAAAAGTATACACTGTATGTGTTTACACATACATTATGTTAACACATTTGGAGCAGAAACTGAAAGACATCAGAAGCTGACCTTGCTTTTATTGACCAAGTTATTTAAAAATATACATACACTCACACACTCAAGAAGGGGCAAGGTGAGATAAAGCTGGATTTTTTTCAATAAAGAGCCTAAAACCCCCATACAGAGTTAAAACTTGGCTTCTGAAAAAAGCAAATCACACCATTTATACTGCATCTTGCTGGTGGGTACGGGACAAAACATGGAAAATGCTTGCATTAGCCTTTTTTAGCTCTGAAGAGCTTCTCCCACCGCTACGACTCCTGCAGCCACACTCAGCTCTCCAGAGAAATGCAGGGCTGGGCACAGGATAGATACTCTTCAGTGCAGCCCTAATAACCTTAGGGACTTCTGCTGGCTGCATGTGAGAATCAAAAGTATGAAACCAGTTACAAGCATGCCATGTTGCTGCAACTTTTGACTACTGATTCCTTCCAACCTAGACAGTTTGTCTGACTTTTGCCCAATTCTTACTAACAAATGAAGCACAGAAGCCACAGTGTTCAACCCAACTAATCTGTTGTGACGGACTTCTACAAAAGGATGGAGAAAGACCCAAAATTCCCTACCAAATTATTTCTTATGATGGAGGTGAACTATGTCCTCTACCTGACCTTTCTCATCTCCCTGTGATCTCTATACTGTTCCATACTTCTCTGTTAATGGATTCTGTACCACAAGATTTTAAAAAAAAAAAAATAAGTGTTAAAACCAAAAACACTGTCCAAAAATGCTCCCAGAGGAATATTTTCTCCAAGAGAATACATCGTTCCACCAGCTCAGCCCAAGACTCCAGCATGTCAGTAAAGGAGCCCCAGAGAAGGCTGACATCGAAGCCATCCAGTTCCACTGACGCAGATGCTGCCACAAGTGAGGCTTAAGTACAAAAGCCAGGTCTTCAGTTTGAAATTTCAAGAACAGTACTGGGGGCATGGCTTTAAAGCCAAACAAGCACACTGTAAAGAAATTATCCAGATTGTGAACACTGGAACTCCAATATACCTACCCTTCCAAAGCACCTAAAGGGATCTCTTTAGGTCAATACAACTAGTTGCTGCATAGCCACAGAGGAAAAAGTGAAACAACCTAATGTTCAAGCTAAAACTTTTCCCAGTACCAATTCTCATGACAATGAATGTAGGTGCTGAACCTCCTGCTCCACATAGGCTGTTTCACCACAAGCATTTCAGTACACAAATGGCTGGCACATTGTTTAATTGAGCACTGAGGCTGACAGATGGAAACTTGTCTCAGCTGATGGTTCAGTCTTAGAAGGTCCAGAGCTCTTTAGAAGTGCTCTCTAAGCAAAAGGCTATTTGAGATGCTCAAAATGCTTCTGAAGGTGCATTACACCACATCTTTCCTGCCTTTCTGTTACTGTTTGCTGGCTGAATGTGACAGACACCAGAGAGCCAAAGCACCTTCATCATTACAGAAGCAACCTGGACAGCTGGACTTCCCTGCAGGCATCATATTTTTTTATGTAAATACAGGGAACATTGCATCCTACAGGACACAGATGTATCACATTACAGCTGATTAAGTGTACTACTAAGTGTAAGCTTTCTTTGAAAAGAAGACACTTCCATCTGATGAGCACTAACCTAGAAAAGGAAGTCACAAAGCACAGTCAGATATAAATACAATGCACTAAAAATGCTCTGTCTTGGTGTTCTCAACTTAAACTGAAAACAAAGATGGAGCCTATGATCACATATTGCTCTCTGTAGTTGTAAGGGAATTTATCTGTATTGGCTTTTGCTGGTTTAGGTCAGCATCGTAATCACACTGCTTCTCTGAGAGAAAAAGACAGGAGCACAGTACATGAACCTTTACGCATTTCAGTTACCATTGTTAGTTCCATAGCAGCCCTGGCTAGTCTGTAGCAGTGATACAGGTAAAAGGGCCTTCTGAAGTTTTAAACAAACATTCATCATGGAATGTGCAAGAAGTAAGATGTGCTCTTCCTCGTTCCTGTAATGGTGACAAGAGGAGTTAGCTGACCATCTAGTCCTTCCTCCTTTCATTCCTTAACCGTGACAGAAATTTCCCCTTTCAATCCGCAATTAGTTGATATTTTAGGAAGCTTTTTGTTCTGGAAAACCAGGTGGGTCAACATGTTTCAGATGTGTTGGATCAGTGTGTTCTGTGCTTTTACCCTCATTCAGTTATCTGTCTTTGGAGCTGTAGTTGAAGGAAACCCCATTTCTGATACATCCATTCATGAGGGTTTTAGGATTCTCTCTTTCAATCTTTTCTCTACTGAAGATAGTGTCCTGATCACTGTCGAACTCGGATTCAGAGACCATCAGACTGGAGTTGTGTTCTGTACTTCTGTGCTTTATACCTGACCAAAAAAAAAAAAAAAAAAAGTAAAACAAGCTCATTAGAAACGTTTAACTTATGTAACAACTAACCATCCTCTCTTCTGCTGTGACATGAAGTACAAGTGAAAACATTCTCTTCAATCCCGCATAACAGCGTGCACCATTGCCACCAATAACATAAAAACTGGCCTAGGAGGTATCAGACAGATACTCCTCTGACTTCACTACAGGCTCATCAGTCTGTAGCTCTGAAATGCGAGAATATGCATTAAATTTGAACCAATTAGATATCTTGGTACATAGCCTATGTACTTTTCATATCTTGAATCCAGAAATTAGTCTGTCCACTGAACTATCTGATTAACACAAGCAGCAATGAAAGGTCATGATTTCTACATAAACATTGTTTTTTTAAGACAGCAGTTTCTCAGGGTGATTTTGTTTCCCCTGCTAACAAATGAAACTCTGGTAAACAAAAAAATACATGTGAAAAGAGGACAGCAGTTAAAGTCTGCTGATATTTAACAGGATGCTTCTGGGCCAGGAGGGAACTGCTGCACAGCAATAAAACCAGCTCAAAAAAGTGTGTGCAGGAGAGGAAGGGGTTACATGGAGAAAGTCTGTATGACAATTAGATGTTCTAAATTAAGGTTAACAAAGTAGCTTAGACCAGTGGCTGAGCCCAAGGCATCATGAGAGAAATGGATACTCCCTCAACCATTTAATTCTCCATGGTTGCCTCTGCCATTCCCAGATTTGCAGGTCAGTTTCTGGGCTCCTCCTGACTGCAGGTGTCAATTCAAACATACTGACTGTAAACTTGGTGGGTAAGTTCACAGCTAAAACAGATCGCACTTGCCATATTTGGGTCGTAGCTCCATTCTCTCCTGCTCATCTATGTTATCCAGGATGGTATATTTTGTTTTCTTTCTTATCTTCGTTCTCTTTCTGCTAAAAGATATGTACCAGAAAGACATTTGGTTCTCGTATACACACATAAATCTGCTGTTTTCCCTTTCTGTAAACATAACTACGTATCCCAATATACAGAACCTCATCGCACTTTCTTGCCTGTATTTAAAGAGTTGTTCCAGCTTATACCTCTATAAAGAAGCTTAAAACTATATTCTCTGGTCTAGACTGATTTTCTCTCTGATTTAAAAAAATGAAGAAAGCAAGAAAGACTGACTTGCTTTCCCAGGCCACAGGGTTCAGTTTGTTCAAGGTCAGTATATAGTAACTAGATAACAAGGTAGACATACATTCATTTCCAAATAAAATTTCTTCAAGAATTGGTTAGGTGTTCCCACTCCGACTCTTAACTGAGAGAACTGGTGCTTGTCTGGTTATGCTTACAAAGAAACCCAAACAATAATGGAAGTTGGCTCCCTCATATACACACATGCAGAGACAAAGCCATAATGGTTTGTAGGCAATGGCTTTAAAACATCCAAAAATCCAGCCAAATCTTGGATTAGGGTATCTCGTAGTTTCCACAAGGCAAAGGGCATCTCTTGCCATTCTGTCCTGTGCAGCATTTCCTTCCTCCTTTTTTTTATTTTTTTTTCTTTTTTTACACTTACCTGTACCAACCAGCCCTCACCCTCTGGCACAAGCCACATGAGGACAAAGGACAGAAGCAGCTGAAATCATAGATTCATAGAATGGTTTGGTTTGGAAGGGACCTTAAAGATCATCTAGTTCCAACCCCAGCCACAGACAGGGACATCTTCCACCAGACCAAGCTGCTCCAAGCCCCATTCAAGCTGGTCTTGAACACTGCCAGAGATGGGGTACCCACAACTTTTCCACAAATAATCCCTTTCTCATCAAAACACGCAAGATTATGAGGCTCCATGCTACACTATGGGGCTAGAACAGAAAACACTTCTATTTAAACCTTTCTAATGACTACATTGTTTCTTCAACCACAAAAAGGAAACCAGGATCAACTCTTACGCATTTCAAAGAGCACCCTTTACATAATGCAAAACCATAGGAAAAAGTGAAAATCCAGAAATATTTTGACAGCCTTTCATATTTGCTAACAGCTGAACAAGCCATCTATTTACTGGGCTTTTTAAGAAGCAGCAAGAACACTTCCTCCAGTGACAGAACTTGCAGGGGCTTGTCACTTGAAAGAGAATTTCTTATCAGCTCAGTAAGAAAGACGGGGGGGGGGGGGGGGGGGGGGAGGGAACCAGAGAGGAGAATGACAAACAGTAGCAGGAAAAACTGTTTAAGGAAAGAGTAACTGAAGATCTCTGCAGTACTCCTTGCCAGTCAGCCAGATGCATGCACCATGTCCACCATTCCTGTCTAAGGGAAACACCAGGTTGGGAGCAGCTCCCTTCCTATAGCCTACAATACTCCTACAACACTGACTTTCAGGGTGTGCCTCTTTTTTTTTTTTTAGCATGGAGTACTGGAAGACTCAGTGGGAGACCATGAAGATCTGCAGTGTACTCCCAACATTTTAAAGCAAATTACATCTTAATATGAAGGATACTACAATATCAGCTTTGTGTTTTTCAAAGCGCAGAAGAGCACAGAGGCACAAATGGATACTCCTTTTTTCAGTAAAAATGTGTCCATAAAGAAACAGACACTGGAAGCTCCTCACATGTCTGTAAAAAAGAGTTCAGTGGTTTAGTCCTAAGGGCTGGATTAAAATGTTGTGTGTAGTTGTGTGCAGTTTTTGCATATAACCCCATTAACCCCCCCCCCCCCCAAATCACATACCTTTTGCAGCAGCAGATGCAGAGCCAGGCAAGCCCTACCATGACCACAACCAAAATAAAAACAGATACAGTGACATAGAGTATACTCCACTCTGAAAAAAGAAATACAACAACATATTTGTAAAATAATATGAATGGGATAATTTCTAATACAAGTCTATTAGAATAGCCAATCCTGAGGAATGGGGAGTGGCAACAGGAGCTTCGGAGAACTTGGCACCTTCACATTCTCAGAAGAATCCCTAAAAATTCTCAGGTTTCTAGACCAAAAGTGCCCTTTTGAAAATCTTCTTCCACTCCAATACCTTTTACCATTCCAAGATACCTGAAGTCTACGTGGGAACTTAAGAGGGAATGCTTAGCACCTCAATTGTCATTCTCTAACTGAAATAAACATAGGTGTACTCTAGGGCTGGCATTTTAGTAGTGCTTTAAAAGAGCAGCTGATTAGAGATAGATCCTTCTACCTCCATGGTTACCATTTGTAAATCCATGAAAACATGAGAAGGGCACAGAGAGAGTACAAGAATGTGAACTCCATCATATGTATACTCACTATTTCAGTGGTGTTGTTATACTACAGAACAAAACAGCATTACGGCAAGGCTGCAGGAGGTCCCAGCCTCAGGCTTAAAACTCACTGTCTCATTTTGGTTGGTCAATTAGCATTCATTCATCAACAGACCGACACATGGCCTATGGTTACTTAATGGCTTGTAGCAAGCTCCTCAAACGTTTACAGATTTACTTGAAGACTAGCGCATTGCTAAGTAAATGTCTCCAAGCCTGCACAGTACTAAGAGTACTTTATTTGAACTTAAGTAGAAGACCCATTTAGTTAAATTAGAACTATTAAATATTTGAAATAGAAAGGATTAGCTGGTATGTTAGGTGTGCCACAGAATGCAGACACAATTAAGCTGGTGAAACTAAACTTCATTTCCCAAGTGCAACATGCAAACCAAAAGAAACTGTGAAATTAATCATTCTAAAAAGCTGAGGTATTAAAGGTGACTACATTGGTTCGCCCAGAACACTGGTGTTTTCTTTCCTTAGGTCAGATCATACCTTTTGGCACAGAAGCATCAACCACCCACTAAAATGATTTAAATTGTTGTCTCTTTTACAGCTTTGCAACAATCAGATGACCACTACTCAAAAAGCTTTGCAATGCCCACACTATTCAACAACCCTTCCAACTGGCCCCACATTGTCCCAAGATCTTCCCCCTATGACAAAGTTTTCATGCTTTTTTCCTCAAATAGCGGTACTTTTAATCATTTAAGCTTTTAGAATATTTTAAATATGGGCTACTACTGTAAAGACATTATAATTTCAAGACATCTTTCTACAGAAAGATATTGCTTGGCTGGAAAACAAACAGACTGTGTTAGTCTTCCCTCAGCATCTACTTCCAAAGTACTCCCCCTTCTGACAGCAAATAAACAACAGTCTCACAAGATGATGAGTTATTCTTGAAATACATTCTGTACCACCCAAACTCACCACAATTACTCTCTCCATCACTTAGATAACGATGAATCAAGTTTTCCATCCACAGCTGGTAGCAAATGCAGCGCTTTGTTATGGGGTCACAGTGTCCATGTCCAGAGCATTTTAAAAGACAAGCTAAGAACAAAACCAAACATAGGGTCAGTTGTATAAATGCACAATTTTTCATGCATCCTCTTACTGTGAGGCTACATTGGTGGTAAAGCATCTAGTTCATAATATTCTCTTATTTTTCAATCTCCCTTTATTTTGATGTTATGTTCTAAACAGATTCACAGTTCATCAGAATGCAGGCTGTAAAGAATATGTATCTTATGCGTACAATATTGAAACTGTATGCAAGTCAAGAACAGATTACTCTAACCAGAAATAAAGAGTTGAAGTTGTGGAATTCAGACCTGATCCTTTATGACAAATTTGTAAGAACTTCTAAGTACCTCAGAACTGGGGAATAACAGCATTCTCAGGTATCAGAAGACAAGCATCATACCAATAAACTAGAGTGCACTTCAGTATTTCAAAGCTGAATTACGGCATCCAAGGCCAGAACATTTAATGCCTCATAGGCTTATAAGTAGTAGCTATTGCTAGATTAATGCATCAGATCAGACTAAAATGAAAAGTTATTCCCCTTAAAACTTAAGAGTAGAAGATCTGCTACGTCAAGAAAAATGTTAATACATATTTTCAAGTGACTCTACACATTTTAGTAATCCAAGTACATTTACAATAGAACAAAAGTTCTTTTCAACAGGTAAATGAAGACAGTATTTACTACAGAATCAATGACTATTTTACTGCCAGAGCTAGCTCACTTTGTGATTGTATCATTATGTTCTGATTTTAAATCATGGAGAAATCATATATGCAATATCTGAGTATCATAAAGGGTGCACTTTACTAGTGAAGTTCAAAATAAGCTTAGAAGTTCAAGCATCTTTTGGGGCAAAATAAAAAGTTCATTATAAGAAACCCCAGAGGCCTGTCTGCATTGCAAGTATTAGAAGAGTAGTTATACCAGTGATCACCTCACCATTTTGATTGGTAACAGACAAGTTACCTGTCCTGGGTTCAGCAGTGGCAGTCATTTTTTCTCCTTCTTAGTACCTGGTGCAGTGCTGTGGTTTTGACTTTCGGCCTGGGAACAGCGCTGATAACACCGATGTTTTTAGTTACTGCTCAAATATTTAGTCTGACCAAGGACTTTCTGAGTCTCATGCTCTGCTAGGGAGGAGGGGAAGATGGGAGGAAGCAGAGACAGGACACCTGACCCAAACTAACTGAAGAGGTATTCCATACCACAGCGCATCATGCCCAGGATGTAGAACTGGGGGCAGTTACCCAGAAGGGCTAGTTCACTACTGGGTTGGGCTAGGTATCGGTCGGCGGGTGGTACTGTATTCTCTTCCCTTCTTATTTCCTTTATCATTATTACTATTTGTGGTAGCAGTAGTAATTTGTGCTATACCTCAGTTACTGGACTGTTCTTATCTCAATCCATGGGAGTTACATTCTTTCAATTCTCCTCCCCATCCCTCCAGGGGGAGGGAAGAAAGGGGAAGAGTGAGAGAGTTCTGCATGGTGCTGAGCTTAAACCATGACATTACGTTACAAACCTATTACTGAACACTAAAAGCCTGCAACGAATCAGAAACATTAAACATTCTATAATATGGATATATTAAGCTTTTCCCATCTTCCAACAAAAGACGGTATAAGTCAAGTATCTCTATCCTCATTCCCCAGGCTTTCCTGATAAAGACCAGATTAAGATATTGTGCTTTTGCATGCTGTCACTGATGATGTCTTTTAAAAGAACACAACTGGCACCAGTCTACCACAAATGAACAAGCATCTTCAGTTTTATCTTCAACATCATCTTTTGGAAAGCTACATCCAAAACCAGACACCAGGTGGCAGACAGAAGGCCTTCATGCACTGTTTCCAGGCGCCGTGCTAGCCACATACCTGCAAAGTTCCGAAATGAGCAAGTACAATCCAAAACGTACCAGCTGTGTCAACCCTCAGGACTTTAAAAAGCAGAAAGTCAGCCTTCTCTTTCAAAAGCTGCACATGCAGAGTTCGTGAGACATCTGATGCCTTGATCACCTTGGAAGGATGCCCATTCTGCACGTAGAACACAACTGCGGTGCTGCAGAAAGAACAGCTAAGGTCATGACTGCTGTCAAAGATCACTTTTGTCAGGCATTAGTTTATAGCCTTTGGTTTTGTTTGTTTCTGGAAAGCAAATGTCACCACTGATAAAAGATTGGGGAACTCCGTCCATGGATCAATCAACTCCATCCAAATGCCATGGACTTCATTATGAGCCAGGAGACCAGCAGTTCTCTGGCTTCTCATTTTCACAGACAAAAGGTGACAACAGAAAATATAATTCTCTCCTTGGTCCTACTGACTCCTGCTTTAAGAGAAGTATGTATACATTTGCTTTCCTCACTCTCATCCAGGACCTGTTCCAAAGCACTCTGAGGCAGTTTGAGTATCTTTAGGAAACTGAACTTCAGAGCAAGGTAGCCAGCAAGAAAATAGAAGATGGGAATAAACCAGGTTTGATCAGATATTGCTGGAACCTTACTTTGAATATAAGCAGTACTTGCTTCACTGTAAGAAAGTCTGTCTCACTCCATCCAGTATTTGGGAAAAATAGTGTATGGAACAAAGATCTTGAAATACATGCATGTGCTTTATTTAAAGGAGTAAACTATACAAAGAATTTTTAATCTTTTTAAAATCAAAACACTTCAGTTCTGAGCCTCCAGAGAGTTAGCTTCATCAATTTTCTACCACAGCAGACAAAATTCACTTTTTAGAGTTATGAGCATAGTTTTTTTTTTTTTGTTCATCTTAGAAAAGATTATTTTACAAGTCATTATGAGCTGTGAGTTAATGAAAATCACAAATCTTCCTTGCACAGCAGGTTATCTTTGTACCTTATATCTGAGTAGGCTTGTATCTTCTGAACTTTGATATCTGAATCCAAAACATTCAGCAATACAGCCAGTTGTCTCACCAGAGTGTCCTTCTGCTGTTCACTCAGCTGTCCCACTCCAACTTGCAGAATGAGCTCCACCAGACCATTTCTTTTGGGATCTGACAGAAAAAAAGAACATGCTGTTCTTTCAGAGCCTGGACAATATTTCAGTACTAACTGAAGACAATACAGTATTTTCCTGCATAAGGCCCATACTCCTTGTAACCCAGCCCTTTTGTGTTCTTAGAAAAGTACTGAAACAAGCCTGGTGGGTCCTAAGACAGCAACTGAGGTTATCAGTTCAAAGAAAGCACTTCAGCGTGTTTAGCATGAACACATTTCTGTGCAGAATATCAACTTTTGTTCTCCTAAATGCTGTCATCTTAAGGTCTCAGAGGGAAGCACTAGGCGAGTCTAAGTTTTCAGTTCCCTGCTAGTTTTCTACTACTGGCTACCACACACAAAAAAAAGGAGGTAAAGATGTAATCATATGGTAGTATGCAAGAATCTGTGAGCAAGTCTAAATGAGAATGGTCAACTTCAGAAATACCAAATATGTTTCTCTTCACAAACTGAGGGTTCTGTTAAATAATACTTGGACTTCTAGAGTGCCTTGCAAACAAAACAAGCTTCACAAACATCCATGGAGAATCCTGAGCCAATTATTGTGACTACATTCAACAATAAAGCAAGGAACAGAAATAAAATCATTTTCCAAGAACCGGAAAAGAAATCTCCAACAGACCAAAGATTTCAGGCTCGTTTCCTGAAACCTCAACTTATCCTTCCAGCACACAGGCATTTATGCTGCTTTTGAAAATAAGTCTATACACGACCAATACTAAAACTATGAAAAGACAACTTAAAAACCCCTGAAATGCTTTGAGGTTTTTGTCTTTCAAGATGAAAAGAGGGAAAAGAAGCACAAAAACACACTTTCATTCATCAAATACACAACTGCAGCATTTGTACCTAAACTAATGTTTAGCTCCCATCTCTTTCTATTGTCCAAACTGATTAATAACCAGGAAAAAGAAACCAAAATGCTTCCAGTAAGGTAGTTAAGAATCCTGACATGTCTAACACACTCAACCCTATTGAAAGAACAGAAGAAGGTAGGGAGAGACCTGTTTGCTTTATGTTTTAACTTGACAGAATCTTGTCAACATTGAAATAAGTGAAAAGAAGAGCAAAGATGAGGTATTCACAACGTATCGATGACCTTTTAATTGTCATACCAGGCCGCACTTCAATAGTTGCTGAATCAACATCTGAGTCTCCTTTAGCATCTGTTACTTTCAAGTGAAAAATGTATGTTCCTTCCACCAGATTAGTTAGCTGCAGTACTGCCTCATGGTCTGAGCCATGGATCACATCCTGGAAAAAAAACCAACCAAAATTAGTACTGGGATGATTATAGCTACAGAGAAAGTTGAAGGTGTGACTATCAAAGTAAGGTGTCTGGTATGACAGTGTGAGTTCTTGCTTTGCTTTTGGGATAAATGTGACCTACTCACACTTTATGGCAAAGTAATACAAATTTGGAAGTGACATGTAATAAAGGTGTCTGAACAGTATCAATATTTTAATAAAACCAACAGAAAAAACAAAACAAAACAAAACAAAAATCACAGAAACCAACCCCAACCCAAACCAGGCAGAAACATGGTTTCAAGTAGATTTTCGTCTACTTGAAAATCTGAGACAGGTACATTATTATTTCTCAGCTTTACTCCATTATCCTTAGTTCTGCTTTCTTCACTCTCAAATTACTTTCTTTCCTTGGAGTCCATGTATTTCCAACTATCACCTCTGCCAGCTATATATTGAAGCTAAACCTCTTCAAATTTTCTCATACCTTCATGTGAATTGCTTCTGGAATCTCTGCTATCATTTTGCTGTTTCTCCTTTCCTGGTTCTTACCAATTTGTCACTATTTTCCTGACTGCAAAGGACTGTACACAACATTGTGCAGACAAGCAGAAAAAGTTATCACATTACAGTAGCTGACACAAACTTCAGTTTATCAAGAGGTACTTTTGCTGTCTGCCCATCTTGAAGAGCAGACTAACAGACTCCACTGCCCTAATGACCCAACCTATTCACTGTGATCTGCCAGTTGTGTATGTAGATCTAGCACCACACATCATTTTTATCTTAAACTGGAAGTTTCACCTCATCTGGTACCAGACACAATTCCTTAGTCTTTATCGGTACTTCTTGCTATCTCAGACCCTTCCACTTTTAGGGTATCTGGATTTCAGAAGATTTTTCTCTCAGACACACTAGCTTGGTACTATCACCCATTACTCCTAAAATGGCAAAATTTCATTCTTACATTTCAAGTCTTTCTCAACTAGCTCTCTTACTTAGACACCATATTCTGTTGCTGTACTGAAAATATCACAAGCCCCTTGAACCAAAGCATTAAAGAGAGCAGGGAAGACAAACCAGAAACAGACACCATGCCTCAGAGCATTTTATGAGTCATACTTGCCTGCCCTGCCCTGCTGCAGCGATGCTACATGCATAACGAGCAGAATTTGACTTGTTACAACCTTCAAGAAACTTACCCCAGCTGCTGGGCTTTGACCATCCCGAATCCACAGATATGACACGATCCCCTGGTCATCAGCAGACCTTGAGCCATCCAAGGTAACAGAGTTATTTGGTAGAACTAGAACATGTTTCCCACCAGCATGTGCCCGGGGTGGACTGTTGTTTTCTAGCCATAGAAATAGCGGAGAAGGATTTGCTTTCAAAACATGTGAAATGTGACAGGCCATTGCAAATACACCCACACTGCAACTCTTTACCCGAGGATTACAGGCAATAACAACAGAATCTTGTTTAAAAAGGTACAAGGAGAGAATGAGTGGGTATATAGAATTTGGCTCCAGAATTACTACAACCTGACAGAAGCAGAGCTGCACCATGAGGACAATACCAATAAGAGGTACCATACAAAAAGATTTTTTTCAGAAAGCATTGTGGGTAAGCTATTTACAGTATGACAAAAGCATCAGATCTCAGTCAAGTAAAAAGATTTTCTGCCTCTTTAGAAACACAGCCCATGTGTCCACAGATCACCATGCTGAGTTCTCATTTTGAGAAACACTTATTACCTAACAGAAGTTTGTGGAAGGCATTGTATCTTCACACAGGCAAATGTTAATTGGGAAACTTACAGTAAACCCAGTTCACAAATGATTTTTGCTTACCTCTAGCACTGAAATGAAGGCATGCATTGGGAGTACAGCCAAAAAACAACGAAGAAACATGAACGCATTCTCTTTCCAGAAACCAGACATCACTGACTTTTATTTAAAACACAACTGATAAGACAGAGCTCCAGGAAGCTGTGAAGCTGAGTGAAATACCTTGCCAGTCTGAATATTAGATTTGACATAAATTATTCAATTCTGGACAGATCTCCAGGGCACTGGCTAGCATTGTAGGTATTCTTTAGAACAGCACAGAGTTCTCTGTGGTACAAGTGACGATCTTGTCTCTTCCAAATAAACCAGTTGATTTAACTTGGCTACCGGACCAGTGAATATTTTTAATATTGAACCTGTGAGAGTTGTCAGTACATACTGTGACTCCACGTCACAGTCTGAATGAAAACGTGAGACACATTTGGGCAGAGCTGTTGTCATACGTTTCTGACTAAACACCTAACTGAAATTCTAGAACAGTTTAACCAATGATGCATGTGGGTAAAACTGAGTCCATCTGCTCCAAGATATGCAACACCTGAGTTGGAGCAATCCCAAGCACCAATACAGGCTTGGTGAAGACAGGATTGAGAGCAACCCTGAAGAAAAAGACTTGGGGGTGTTGCTTGACAAGAAGCTCAACATGAACCAGCAGTGTTCCCTTGCAGCCCAGAAAGCCAACTGTGTCTTGGGCTGCATCAAAAGGAGCATGCCCAGCAGATCAAGGAAGGTGATTCTCCTCCTCTACTCCATTTTCAAGAAGTCAGCAGCTAAGATTCTGACACAGCTCTATTATCATTTCATAAATGGTATAGGTAAGATACTTGCAGAGCCAGAGTACACCAGTCCCCTCTAAAAAAAACCCATCAAGGTATGCAACAGAAAGCCAAGCACTGGAACAAACAAGATTTGAAACATATTATGCCACCTTCTTTAGAGGGACATATAGACCTATGGAGATTGCTGAAATCACTACCTAAGGAACAACATGAGGTAAAAGATGGTTGGATTGTCACCACCTGCAAATTTGAGAATGCAACACACTATGAAATCTGTTGAGGAGTACCTGACAGTACCTCTGTCACAGGAATGAAGCTGCCAAAGAGTCTAAAGCACAAATCTTAAGAGAAGTGGCTGAGGGAACAAGGATTGTTTAGCCTGGGGAGAAGGAGGCTCAAGGGAGAACTTATCACTCTCTACAACTATCTCATAGGAGGCTGTAGTGAGGTGAATGTCAATCTCTTCTCCCAAGTGGAAAGCGATAAGATGAGAAAAAATGACCTCAAGTTATGCCAGTGGAGGTTTAGGTTGGACATGAAAAAAAAAAAAATACAAAAATTTTCACTAAAAAGGTTGCCAACGACCCTTGGAGCGATTTAAAAGATGTGTAGACATGGTACTTAGGGAGTGGTTTAGTGGTGGATTTGGCAGTGCTATGTTAATGGTTGGACTCCATGACCATAAAAGGTCTTTTCCAACCTAGGCGATTCTATGATCTTGTACAATAGATATTATTATACTAAAGCCACTTCTACAGCATGCTTCGGGGGGGGGGGGCGGGGAGGATAAATAATTAACCCCCACCATAGCAACGGCTTACCTATATAAAAAAAACCCAAATAAATACAGGTCTGCTAATGCTAAGTTTTTAAGTTGAAATTGGTATACTCTGAGACCTCACTTAAAAGCCACAGTAAAACTGCTTTTCTGCTCAAAGCTTAACTTTAAAATGATGTTTTCATTTTATTCTCAATGAAGTAGACACACGCTAGTGTAGTAGGGTCAAAAATAATATTTTTTAAGCATTCTTATTACAACTAATTCTGCATATATTTAACTTCAAAAAAGCTTGCAGTAAGTGAAATTAATGCTACCAATCACTCACAATACACTTTACAACAAAATAGCAGTTAACTCTTCTTGAATACCCTTGAAACATGACAACCAAATATATTCTGTTAGTGACTGAATTAACTGGCAAGTCGCCTACTGTATTCTAAGCAGCAGCAACTAGGCTTACCTTCCTTCACAGTAATAGATAGCACAGATGCACTGCTTAAGCCCTGTTGGTCTTTCACCGTCAGCCTGAAGCGATAGGTACCAACCTGAAGACCAGTCACTGTTGCTATTGCTTTGTTGCCATTTTCCATCTGTACAGAGCTTGGTCCACTGAAACAAAGCATCCCAGGAAAGGGAAAAAAAAAAAAAAAATAAAATCCTACATAGACAGCCAAATTATTCTTTCAGCAGCACTGATCATGTCATTTGCTTTTATGTATATTGTAGTTTTACCAGCCCTTGTAAGCACAGGTAGTTAAAGAACTATATGACGCATGAGTTTAGTTCAGAGAATTAATAAACCAATTTTTTTGAAGACAAAGCACCCAAGCATTCCATACTCATTTATTAGAAAATTAGAAAATGCACCCCAGAAGTTCAACCTCCCCACTTTACTATTTCATGGGAGCATCCAAAGACTGTTGCTTTAAGAGCCACTTACAACATCTGCATGTTGCCAAAAAAACCTCTTCCTGTACCATGGATGCACTAATACCTTGTCCTTTTATTAAGGATCAATTAGTTTTGCACATAAGCATACAACTAAACTTTTGTCAAACATTTTTAATCATCATTCAAGAGTGTCACCGACTATTGAAAGCTCAGGTTAAACAGATTGTCAATTTATTGTCCAACAAACAAGTGACCAAGAAATCCTAGTCCTAAGCACTGATGGGAAAACTTTCTGTATTTCAGGAGGGTACCCAAACCCATTAGTTGCTTTTTAACAGGAGACATGGAAGCTCCCATCATTTTCGCTTAATTTGGTAACAGTAAACCTCAAAGTGACACAGTGCAAAATATGGAAGACTTATGCAATCTCTGCCTAAGCTGAACTTAAAATTCCTATCACCCTATTACTACCTGAGCAGGAACATCCTCAAAACAGCTCTCCAACAGTGAATTACCCAACACAATTGTGTAAGAGGTTCTGGCACCCAATCACTTTCCCTTCTTTATTCTACTGGAGATCTGTAAAATCTCTAGATACCTGATATTTTCCCAGTGATAGAAGACAATGCCTTGGTCATCTTGGCTTTTGCTTCCATCCAGTGTAGTGCTTTCTACTGGGAAGGTCAATTCCTTGTCAGGGCCAGCCACTGCTACTGGAGGACTATTATTTTCTGTAAAAAGTAATAGTTGGTGTATGACATTTTCTAGGTAGCTACTGGCAAGGACTGTCAATCATAACAGATTTTACACAGAATATTATATAACAAATTCGATATATTGGCTCAAAGGTACAAATCACAAGCATAATGTGCACAAGCCAGCGGAAAATACTAGGTGGGTGAGACCAGCTCTGCAACAAGCCAAATCCCACAGCAAATACTTCCCTTTTTTACAGTCATATCTAAAAGTACATGCTCCCAAAGTTCTGCAGTGTGCTCAATGCATCATATGCAATGTTTCATAACAAGAGTAGTGGGGTATTTTCCTGGTTCCACTACTACTTCAAAACCACCCACCCAAATATAGGCCTCTGCCTGCGAAGATGATACTGGCCCAGTTTTGTGCTGCTCAAGGTCAGCACAATGCCACTAAGTTAATGCCAGTTTAGAGCCTTTTAGATTTAGTGCAGGCACATATAACCTATTATTGTGTTTTCAGCCTATGCTTTTCTGGCATTGTAAAACTAATAATTCTACCATTTTCCTGAATATTTATTTACCCTTAGACCTGACTTCTATATAACATCTTTCAATAACACCTTTCTAGTTCCACCCTACAATGAGTCTAAAAGACACCATCGTAAGCTGTACTTCCAATTCACATTCTTGATTTCCACAGTAAATGCCCACTGTGAAGTTTTCCCAGAAGGGGTGATCTACAAAAAGATGTAAGCAACAACAGGAAGATAAAATGTTGCCCCATGGTGGAATGTAAGACCTTCAGATGGGCAGAACAGGCTACTCTGGATGCAACAGGCAGACACAGTAAAAAAAATAAATAAATAAAAGGGAGTGCGTGCATAAGATATCTCATGAGTCCCAGACCATTTGGGCCCTTTCATCACTTAGCTCCCAAATCTAAACAAGTGTGTGAAAGCTGCCGCCTTTGAAAATTCATTGCTTGACACTTTTCCCTCAAAAGTACAATGCAATTCTAGTGAGAATTCAAACTACACAAGGATTCTCGAAAGAGGACTGCAAAACAATAAGGAAACTGAGCAAAGCACTGGCTGATACTCTGAACAACTCTGCAAAACATACTTTGTAGACTATTACAAGAGTCCCATTTTAGCTTTTAGACAGACAGTGACATACCTGTACAGGCTGCATTACATAATCAGGCCAGTTTGAGCCTTCAGGATCACTACCTGGACTTTCTATGACCCTACACTTATTTTAAATGTTTGCTTTGACAGAAAACAGAGGTGGAGGAGTCCCTGAGGCAGGGATACAGGACATTCGGACTGTCATCTCAGTGGTGCAATGCGGGGAAATGATGTATTCCAGGACAGTGCTAAGACATCAGGTTGACCACCCCTGAGGGACCCAGACATGCCTGCAGCTGACTTACCAGGCTGTACTATCAGTGTGACCTCAGCTGTGGACCGCTGCCTCGCAGAGTCTGTGACAGTCAGCTGAAAGGTATAATCTCCTTCCTGCATTGCAGATAACTGGAGGTAAGGCGTTCGCACTCCCTACACAACATTTATAAAGACAGAGCGTAAGATAAACAGAAATGCTCATGGAATATGAAAGATATCACAGAGCAATTATGAAGAAAAAATATAATTTGTTTTAATTCATCAATACAGTGCTTGAGCAAGCAGTTTAAGCATCTTGTAGACAAAGAGGAAACTGAAAATTTGATGTACAGATGTATGCATTCCCTATTGCAACTGTCCCTATCAACCCAGAGAAATATTTATAGACAATAAACTTTAATATCTTCTAGTGTAATTGCTGCATTGTTTCTGAACCACAATAACTGTGAAACACATGGGATATTAACTTTTTCAATTAGGAAATTAAAGACTGACAGAAATTACTACATCTTATTCCATTTCCTTTGAGATACTGTAAAACCAAACATCATGACATTCTTTAATATAATATTTATGAAAATTGTTAAATGCGAAATCAAGCTTGATTTGATCCCAGCCAGAGAGGCTTATGGAAAAAACAAGTTAAACAAGACAACTTTGTCCTGAATATACTCTTCCAGCAATATTAGTTAATATCCATTATGAACTCATAAAATGACTGGGACCAGCTATAGGTCCTTTTGCTAATAAAATTAGCATAAATAAAATAAAAGTGGCATCTCTCACATGAGGAATAACAAATCACAACACAATTAGGTGGGGTTTTTTTTACAAATATGATAATGAGAACTAATGATTAACTAACCAGCAAAGGTACTTGTTAAATTGCCCTCTAATCATGGATACCATGTAACACATCTGAGACCAGCATCCTCAGCTTTAGGGAAATGAAAAAGATTACTAGGCTCTTGGAAAGAAACTGTAAAATGCTCTTGCATTTCCACATTACATACCCAATGAGGTACCTCAAACAGTCATTCCCTTTTTCCAGGAAAGTTGCTTTAAGGCTGAACAGTATCTGAAAACTACAAGTTCAGGCTGCACGGATGCTTTTGGAAAATCTTTGTCATGCTAAATGCTATAAGCCATTCCATAGTTTCCTAATTACCTCTACAGTATAGGCTTTCATCAATATTACTCCTTTCCTAAACAGAGCTACAAAGTGATCTCTTTCAATTTCGGAAGGTCTAAAGCATTTGCAACACTGCAGAAATCAGGCCTCAAAAAAAATGGCTTCTGAGTTTCAACGGGCTTCATTACGTTAATTACCTCAACTGGCTACAGAGTTACAAGACTCTTCAACTGAGGGCAAGTTCATTGAAAATTTTTATTACATTTTCTCAGATTAAAAAAGCCATGAAAATAAGAGAATAAATTTAGATGGCCTTTATAGGAAACCTAAGTTTTAGTGAGCATACAAAGAACACCAAAGAGCATGGCTGCATAACACTATCAAAAGCCTTGCCATCTTTCACTTGCAAAATTAAGCTTCTATTTGAGTCCTACTTTCTCCAGGAGGAAATGTTATAATAAAACCTTGACCATCCTCCACATTCTCACAAAACCAATTTTCAGCATGTCCAGCGTTTCAGAAGATGGAAGCCTGTGGAGCTCTAGGGTCCAAGGACAGACATTGTGAACTTGGAAATCTTTCCAAACCACCAGGGAGCAACAACAGCAGGAATGAGAAAAAGCCTCAAGGTATGATAAGAGAGAGAAGGAATTAAAAGTAGTATCTACAATGAGCACTGAATGTATCAGAGAGGAATGATGACAACAACAACAAAAAAAAAACTAACAGCACACTAGATATTCTAGTGCTTCTGAGTTCTGAGTAGTTACTTAGGTACGTGCTTGCTCGTGTTAGATGCAAAAATAAAAGAGCCTTCCAATCCTAAGCAAGGAGAAACAGGCATACCTGCATTGCTACAACCTTTCCTTTGCTTTTGGGACTGAGTGACCACTCATAGCTGACAATTTCATGGTCATCAGTGCTCTGGTTTCCATTCAGCGTGATGAAGTTCTGGGGCAAGGTGACTGCCTGATTAGGTCCTGCATTGGCAATAGGTGGGTAATCCACTGGTTTGTTGACACTCAGAGATGCAATGGTAGAGTTGGCTGCTCCATCTGAATCAATCACTGTGAGTCTACAACAGGAAAAACAGTATTGGAAATCTGTTAAGATGGGCTTCTGTTAAGTTTTAAGTCCAAAGGTTAACTTTTCCTGGCACTTTTTTGAGCATCACCTAAGACAGACCCGATGATTATACTATACAAACTTCTGCTTCAGAAACACATCTGACAACTGAGGTAGGAAAGAAATTCAGAAGACCGATTTAAAAATTCCCACAGCTTTCAATCCTTATGGAAAATAATAATAAAAGGCCTAGCTATACTGGATCCCACATGAAATCCTTTCCCTGAAGTCAACAGCAACTTCATCAAACAGATTTCACTGCAAATTCTTTAAAAAGCTTACTTAGTAAAAACAAGGGATTTGACTCATCAGCCACAGTGTAATAGTCCCAGTTAACACCTACATCCAAGACTACTCTTCTTGATGTTCAGAAGCCCTGCTTATAGCGCACTAGCAGTTCTTAAATTCTTACTGCTTTGTGACACTAATTTTAATGCAGCTCACACTTCTGAAGATGTCAAGTCACAAAACTAAAAAAGTACAGGGTTTAAAAACCCCACTACTGCCTCTCAGAAACATAATGACAAATCATCTTAACATGAGCCTGCTGCAGACAGCCAAAAGTGATGAGAAGTCTGCCCTCAGCAGTATGGTAACTGACTGTATCTCTAACTCGCCTCTTCTGAAAACTACATACTGCTGTCCACATGGAAGGGAACCACTCGAAGCCTTTCCCGAGTAGAACAAAACTAGTGCTCATTTTAGGGAATAAATACTTTTGCAGTGGGTGCATATCCATGTGTATTAGGAACACTGAATTTTTTTGACCAGCTCATTTCCTTTAAGTTTGAACACAGTGCTCTATTGTTCAAGTACCTTAGCCTTCCCTAGAGGTGCACAGATACAGAAAGTGATTTCTTAATTCCCTAAGGTTTAGAACACACTTGAGAGCATTGCTTGTAAAAGCAAGCTCTGCCCTTATTAATACAGAAAAAAATCCTATGCTCCTTTCTGCCACTGTACAATATGAACAATACCAATAAAGAACACAGAATAGAAGCTGAAGTTATGCAATTTTTGTTGAAGCTTATGCAAAGCATCCCATTTAACATATATGTATGCTAACTTCAACATTCTGCTGATGTTACACTGATAAACAATATATTAACTAGTAGGCTGTTGCGTACCGGCATTCAAATAGCCCAGGCTGGATCAGCAGGAAGTCTGCCTCTGTGCAGGTTAGGCTTTAAGTTAAAAAGCTCAGAAAATGAACTCTGATTTTAATTAAAGCACTCAGAACCAAAAATGTTGCTTCCATTGCTGGACACAATCCAGCTTTAGCAATGAACAGAGGGAACCAGTAGCAAGGCAATGGCTTTTATGAAGAACAGAGTGACCCTTATTAAAACAAGCAGACAACAAAGCCCTGCAAGGATAAGTCTCCCAATATTGTTCTCTCTGACATCACCCTTCAGGGGATGACTTTCACAGCTTGACTGCAGTTTCATCTCAGCACACTTGCCAACTTCTATAGAAGGGGCAGGGGGGGTTATGGGTGTTTTGCATAACTTTGTGCTGTAACGTATCGCTACACCAGTATCACAAAAATCACTGCAAGCACTTTTTAATAAAATTGCTCCCTATGTCTCTCTACTGCACAAAATGAAGGTTAAAAGCATGCAGAAGAAAAATTAAGTTTTTTTTTGTTTGAGGAGGTACATGTGAGCACAAGAGAAACAAACATTTAGCTGACATCACAGAAATAGTTAAAACCTCAAAGGAAAGCATCTGTGCAGGTACCTGAAAGTGTAGTTCCCAGGAACAAGGTTAGACAAGTGTAAGACAGGTGTGTCAGCAGACGCCTTCTGCTCTCGCAAAGGACCTTTAATTTCCTCCCAGTGGTAACTTACTATCTTCATATCATCAACACTTTCTATATTCATTAAAGAAAAACATATCAGTTTCCTGCAGAAATTGCTGGAATAAATACTAATGTCTTTCATGCACTGATCCCTGTTGTTTTCTACAATTATCTTCTCAAGTACATTTGAACAGATTTCATGTACCATAGCTGTTAAACCACATATTCCAAACTACATTTGGTATAGTTTATCTAAACAAACAAAAAATTCTTCACACACACACAAATTAAAATCAGTCTCAGACTCTCCACAGTCTGCTCTCAGTAATTATGAGCGGAATTATCACATTTCATCATACCCTACATAACAGCTTTCTGCCATGACACCAGCCATGCTGGCACAGGTTTTCCGGGCAGGGCAGGAAGAAACTGTAAGAGTAGCTGCTGTTTGGACGCAGCAGCCTCTGACATGTTGCATCTCAGTCTCCAGGTGGAAGGCTGCATTTTATCACTTTTTTTAATTTATTAAAATAATTTATAACTAGACTCAAATCCCAAAAATAAATTCAGGGAACTTCTGAGTGAAAAGAAGGAATTTCACGTGTAATTGACAACAACATTATAACTGTATGCAAAAAATAGAGGATATAAGCACAGGAGGGCCCAGTACATACGACTGCCATCAATGAAGGTAGAAGTTGTAGGCAAAGAAACTTCTTGTACTTTGGGTGAAGCAATGGCAACAGGAGGCTGGTTAACTCTGACTGCTGTGAGAAAGATGAGAGAAGGGAAAAAAAAAAGGAAAAAATAAAGGTAGCGAAAGCCCAGGTCAAATTAATGTGTTGACTCTACAGATCAATAGTCCCCAGTGATTTAAATGTAGGATTGACAGCTTTGCAGCAGCATCTGTTTGTCCTTTCTGGGCAAGGGGGAGAAAAGGCTGCTGAAGAACAGTGCACTGATGCAGCAGTCCTCTGCTGCAGCCCCTTCTAACTGGTATAATTTAGATTAAACCTTCACACTGTAACTTGCAGCTACAGCTGCTTCAGCACCTAATTGCTGCTCCCAGCTGTACTGGAGAAGACCACAAAAGGTGGCATGATGCTATCTCAAGCCTTGCCTGAGGAGGGTACAAGACCAGAAAGCATTTAAACACAATGAGTCAGCAACTCTACTTCCTTAAAATGCTTTACAGACACCAAGTTAGGCAACATCTCTGCATGATTGGACTACCAGATGCTCTTGGCAGACAGTAAGTGACAGACTATTAGATAAGCATGTTGTACAACTATTGTATTGAAGAAATTAATTTCATTATTTTAGCCAACTGATTTACCTGGTTTGACTGTGACATTTACAAAACCTTCGCCAAAGGCACTTTCACCAGAAACCGTCACTTTGAAGGCATAAAGTCCCACTGATAACTGAAACAATCACAGAATAAATTGGGTTACCTGTCAAATTATACAAAAGCTGTATGCATAAATCTGCCAGTCACGTAAACAGAGAAAAATCTGGATATCTAAAACCTAGAGCTCCTTTCATAAATACATAGACAAAAGGCTACTAGTCACTGCCCAGAAGTGAGAAATACAAAGCCAAAACTTAGGAATTTTTACTCTACCTTAGAAAATTATTAGAGCACTCTAAAAAGCCCCAAAACCAAAAAACACACCACACTTCCAATCTGGCAAAGATCTGGTGACACATGCAAGTGGAGAGACTCCTTGAATCCAGGTGCCCTTCCCCACAGGTTAGATTCCTGTGAAAGGACCACACAAACACACTGAGCCTGAGCTTACAGCTCACTTACATGAGAGAGCTTCAAGGTCTGGCTGTGCCTGCGCTCCATTTCACCACCATAGTCAGCAGGATGACTGATTAAGCTCCACTCATAGGTGTAGGCTGTTTCTAAGAGCAGTAACATAGCATAACAGTAATCAGCTTTGCCTTCAAAATAAGCCCAGAAAACAAAGAAATCAAGTTCACTATCCACCAGATAAAATGCTACAGTAGGAAATCGTAAGTGCTACTGTTTAAGCCTGTAAAATGAAGCAGTATGAAAACATGTCATACTTCCACAGTGCTTTGTAACATTGTAAAACAGCAAGTATATAATGGACTTCACAAATAACTGACTTCACAAAATCAAGCTTCATGTGAGGTGAACGCATTTTGCATACCTGTGAAACGTGTATTCCTTGATGCTGCAGTTCAGAAGCTGGTAATTTTAAAGTAAATGCTGCATTCAGAAGCAACTTCCTCCTTCCCTTTACAGCAAGATACTATAACCTGGATCACTTCATCTTTTGGAAGAAACTACAGACTTTCTATTGAACCATCTGGCTAATGAGTTCAGGTTCTGAAAATAAAAGCCACTAAAAAAAAATGGATAAACCTCCAAAATGAAAAGGAGGAAATCCCCCCTTGTAATTGGAGCCACCAAAAAAAAAAAATGTATCAGTAGGAGATGAGGATTATTTTACCCTGAGACATTCACATAAATCAGGACTTGTCTGCATTTACAAGTTGGTAGTGTGTGCACCTCCTTGTATGCCAAGGCCATTCAACTCACCTGTAGGTGGTGGTGGGACAACAAAGGCATTCAGTTCAACCTCATTTTTGGGTAGCACCACTTGTATGTTATCTCCAGCAGACACAATAAGTTCTTTTACTGTATCTAAGACAGAATGAATACATTATGTTTTAACAGATGGACAGATTTAAATTCAGCATCTTTGAATATTACTTGTAATGGATTAAACAAAATTTGACAAACTTGATTATGTATTGAGGAATTCTTATTTTTTCACTTGTCCTTCCCTGTTCATTGTAGAGTTTGTCAAATTTTTCACCTTTTACCAAACCAAAATTTTTCTTCTTCCCCAAACATGAAGTGTCATTTCCCCTACTTCTGTTTTAGGGAAAAGCATTCTGATTACTCCTGAATATCACAGGTAACATTGCTCTGCATAAAGAATTACAATTTTCTTGGATAGAAGTGCAGGAATTAAAAAATACACAATTACAGAGGACAAGGAAAGCCATCTGCACCAGAACAAAATTAATTAAATGAAGTAACATAGTCCAAACTAGAACTGTAGTGCTTGCCATCCAGGAACACCCTCCCAATTCTCATCTGTGAAACTCTTTTCCAAAAAATGCAAAGTCCACAAAGCCAGTCGCCAACAGAAATGTATCAAAGCACAACTTCAGGAAAGGTTCCCACACACCTGTATTTCAAAGGTTTTAAATGTCTTCCTGTTAATATTGGGAATCCACAGCACAGAGGTTCTGCGAAGGCAACATTTACTAATGTCTAAATGTTCAGCTTACAACTTCCGAATAGATAAGCAAGGTGGTATTCAGTGCCAGCTGACAGGCCTAAAAACGGACTGAAGAGGTCACACTGCCAACACACTTTCTGTCACCACTATTTTAATGTGCCCAAGGCTCCACAATTGCTCATGGGAGTAGCCCTAGACACCAGTGGAGTGGATGTTTGTACCTGGACCTCCACATGAGATGAGAATAAAATGGCTAGATGAGGGTGATGACCAAAACAGAAGAGTGACTGTCTTCCAGACTTTTAAGACTGTAGGGCTGATAACACACAAACTTGAGGTATTCCTTGCACAAAGCAGTACTTACATTGAGATTCATCACAGACTCCCCTTCAGCTTCTTCTTCCAAGCTCCTTTTTGAGCCATCTTCAACCTCCTCTTGTGAAGGAGGACAAGGAGCTGCCTAGTCAACCAACACTCAATGATGATCCATTGCCTTGGAGAGATAATCTCCTGCAGCTCATTTTTTCCTGTCACCTGCTACTGCTATCCTGGCTGGCAGGTTGTAGTTTGGCAGAGGGTGCCAAGAGTGTCCCAAACGCTTAACTGTCCACATCCTTCACTATACCAGAGGGCCAAACACCACTTCTCTGCTACTTGTGGCCCTTCTGACCAATTGTCAGGATGCGCAGGGAGGCAGGAAACTCGGCAGAAGAAAGGAGATACTCTAACATACAGACACACAGAATTTACTGCAACTACTGAGAATATAGTGATTATACATGTCCTTGTCAAACTAAAAGCTGCTCTGCAGATGGAAGTCTGATAAGCTTTCTCACAGCCTTGAAATTAGAGCAAAACTTTTTTTCCTCAGGATGAAGAGGCCAGATTCTCCCTTACTACAGGCTAGGCTTCTCCCTGTTAAGGGCTGAGCTTCCTCAGGTCCCACCTATGTTCCTGCACAATATCTGACAACTACAGTGGGAACCCTTCTCAAGAGTTTAAGAGGGAACAATATCCTCAAGAGTCACACAAAACCAACAGTATGGCTAGAAGAGACTATTCTAAAACTGCAGAAAGCCTCAAATATTTCTCACCAAGTATAAAAATTAACCCATTTTCAAAAGCCTTTTAATCTCTTCTTTTACTTTGCTGTATTTTCTTGGATTATAATTTCCTGCTAACAATGGACTTGGTCAGAGTTCTGCCTCAGATGGCTAAGGAGTCTGAAGTTTGCAATGTTACTGTAGGTCTACAGGCCTGAAGTGGGATGATGTTGCGTTCGGATAAAGAGTGAACTCATAACTAACAACGGTCTGGAAGCTTGACAGTCGTAAAAGCCATCCCCACCCACTGTTCAACCCGCAGGTACCCCTCAGATCTCCAGCTATGTTAAAACATTACCTGATTTAGCGTCAGTAACAGGTGGTGTGAACTGCTGCATGGGCTCAGATGGCACAGTATTAGTGAGAAGTAGCACAATCCCACCTTCAGTGCCATTCTCTGGGGCCATTGTAGGAGTCTGGGTCTTCTCTGACACACCTGGGGAGAAATCCACTTTCTCTGAAGGAGGGGAAGGCGTAACAGCCTGAAAAATGAATTATAGGGAAAGAATTGTAAAAGTGAGCCATTCTTCACATTCCTAGATTTAGAATTACGCTGTTTTTTTAAATAGCATGTAGGGTGAGCTTACTGATACATGTTACTAGGAGGTTTTATTCGTACACAGAATATCAGTCAAACAGGAGGACTTTGATTGGGGCTTTTGGTGATTTGTTTTGTCATTCATTCCACCCCCACCCCCCCCAACAAGCTTTACAAGAAATGCTCATATGGTTATCAAAATGAGGTAACCTGCAACACAACTAAGGCTATCAGTTCTCAAGGCAACAAAGAACAGTAGGACAGCTCTAAACACAGTCATAAACCTTTAAAACCCAATGACAGGAAGTCTGTGTGGTAAGTATTATTGTCTTCATGCTTTACACACAAACATAACAGAATCCTTGCCTCTTACTGTATCTGCTCAGACCAGAACTTCCTCATGCCTTCTTGTTTCCTCATTACTAATAAAACCCTAAATCTGTCCACATCAGTCACCAAGCTGTAGTAGTGTTGTCTCTCACCCAGCTTGTGGTAAATCAGAACTTCAGCAAAGAACACAGCAAGTTTTACAGAATAACTCAGCACTGTGTTAGCCTTGCCCAACACCTTGCCCCTCTCCCTTAAGCCATATCACCTTTCAATGACACATTAGTCTCAAAGGGCAAACAGTTTCTCCTTACCTTCTCAAGACATATTTCTGACCTAACGCCTAGAGAAAAGCATTTTACTAACTAGGGCTACTATGTGTGGCACATGAAGACATATACTGCTATTATATGTACACATAATCTATTAACTGAAGAATAGGATTATGAAGATTGGTAAAATGCACATTGATATCACACAGTGTCCGAGGTGGGAAGAAACCTCTAGAGATGGCCTAATAAACTCTGCTCCCCAAAGCAGGGTCAGATACATCAGGCTGCTCAAGACCATGTCCAGTCAGCTTTTGACTATCCCCAAGGACAGATAATCCACAACCTCTGGAAAACCTGTTCCAGTGTTCCACCACCATCACAAGAAAAAAGAAATGGAATGGTTTTAGTGTTTAAATAAAATTCCTTGCATTTCAATTTATGCCCATTGTCTCTTGTTACTGGACAGCACTGAAAAGAGCCCATCTTCACTCCTGCCATGGTTATTTATACACATTGGTAAGACACTCCTGAACCCTCTCTGATCAAAGCTGAATAGTCTGAGCTCTCAGCTTCTCTTCAGTTGCTCCACTTTCATTCTGCAGTCTGTTGCCTCCCTAGGAAATCACAGTAGCTCTGCCTTGGATGTGGACAGGAGGAAAAGCTCCCTGTGCAGCTGGGAGCACCAAGGTGACATCAGGGACTGGCTTCCCAGCCTGCAAGGAAACAGAGTGTATGGAAGTCATCTGCAACTTCATCTCTGCCTTCAGTTAAGGACAGAGAGGAAAGATCCCTGTGCAGCTGGGACAGTAACAGCAGCGCTGGGGACTGTGGCTGCTTGACCTGTGAGGCTGCAAAGGACCCACTAAGATGGTTCTGTAAAAAAAGACGATGCAAGCACCTTTGTGGTCATATCTCCAGCTCTGCCAAATAGGCAGAGAGTAATATGATGTCTCTGCGCAGCTGGGACATTGACAACAGGATCAGAGACTGCAGCTCTCCTAGGTAGTGCCCTTGGCATACCAAACTTATACCCTCAGCTGGAATCTCGCCCTTGACAATATTATCACACATGGTAAGAGCCTCAAGCCTGTCCTGCCTCATGCCTTGACAAAAGACAGCTAGCTCTCCTTTACATAATCACTCCATCCCACATCTTCCAAAAAGATCTGCTTTAACACACTTTGGAAAACCAAAGCGCTTCTTTGCCTGCCAAATTTGAGGCATGTCTACTTTTCCGAGTTCCCTCTGGTTTTCCTTCTCTCCTGGCCCTTTTCCAATCTATCAGCTGAGAAGCAGCCATACTGCCTTTGTAGGACAGATGGGGACAAAGTCACCTCAAACATACCTTTCCTGGATCACCGTCTTCTGCAATGGCACCAAACATCTTTTCAGTTGGCAAGCCTAGGCAAGACTGCAGTCAAAAAAGCTGCTCCATGGTACTGTCACATGCAAAGCAGTGTCTCAGCCAAAAAAGATAACTTAAATTAGGAACGTTAGCAGGCAGCAATGGGGCAGGGGCAATATCAGGAATTAAGTTCTCAGACAGAAACTATTGTTGAGAGGTATTCCTGAGCAGATGTAGAAAGCAAGGTTAACCCAAATTCTAGCTTGGGAACCAAAAGGAAAAGGAAAGAAAAGAAAGGACTCTTTCTTGGAGTGAACAGGGTAGGCAGTTCTGTTGGTATGAGCTTTGTGGGATTTTTTTGTTTGCTTTTACCCACCTGTACAGCCACAACTGCTTGTTACAAAATAAACACACCACCCATGAGGGCCCATGTCCTTCAGTTCTCAGGGTTTGACTTGAGTGTAAATCTCTTGAGAATTCCCACAGAAAACAAGAACACCCCCATATCCAAAGGAAAAAAAAAAACAACCAAAACCCCCAAAACAACCCAAAAAAACAGTCATTCAGTTCCCTGAGGAACATTTCGGCTGTCCCCTCCATGAATCTCATCTTAAGTAAGAGAGCTGCATTAAATCTGTGACAAGTATTTTCTTCCCTATGGTAATGGCAATAAATTATCATTTTTACAGCAAGAGATAGGTAGCTGCTGGTCATAAAATCTGGTGGAATTTAGAGCAATCCAGCTAACAGAGCTTAACTTCCTCCTCCCTCTAGCAGGGGTGTGTGTGTCAAACCCAGTAAATGTTGACCTTACAGCCTGTTTCACCTTTCCAACTGATCCCACCCTGTTCTTAAGAAACTGGAGCCCCTTTAGTCTCAACTGATCAAACTGATGGGCATAAATAGAGAAAAAGGTGCCTCTTACTTAATTATCTAAATTTGGCTTTAAATATTTAACTTATTTTATTATTGACAGACTCAAGAAAAGGATTCTGAGAACAAAAACAACTTATCCACTTTATCCTGCTGTACATCGTAGTCCAAAGCCGCTACTGCCCCTTATGTACCTTGACTCTCTAATATGTTTTAAGAACGTTACAGAAGGTATTCAGCTCCATTATGTCTGTAACACTGCTATGCATTAGTAACATGAAACCCATAAAATAGGCTTAATTTTATTGATGGAGGAACTTATAGTTACTGGTCTTGGCTTTTGGATACTAGAGTCCACTGGTATTGCTCAGCTGACTACTGCTGACGAGCCACCAAGTGTCAGAAGGGAAGAATACCATAGCACCATTCCAGCAGGTCCAAGCACACTCCTCTGTACACTTCCAAGGAAACCCCAGTGTCCCAAAAGCAGCTCTGCTCCTTATCTGACAGAAGAGTCCTTTAGCAATTCATCTGCCTAATAAGACAGATGAACTGCTTTCAGCCTTTTCTACACTCTAATAAGACTGTAAGTCATTTGAGACTTGTTACATTACAAAGCAATAACCTAAATTGATTTGAAAAACAAAACCATTGCAAACTCGCCTCACCATACTCTGCCTGCTTCCTGAGGGACAAACCTACCTCTTTTTGCAAACCATCATCAGGTTGTTGAAGAAGCTGAACAGCTGCTTCACTTTCAAATGTCTTCCTAGGGAACGGTGTAATCTCTGGGAGAGATGACAACCTCTCTATGGAGTGTTCAGTGACAGAGTGGAATTCAGAGCTGTTTTTATTCAGAAGGCTTTCCCTTTTCCCAGACTCTCCTTTCTTCTCAACAATGTCTTCCTGGTTATCTCCATCATCACCCATGGAATAGTTGAAGCTGTTTTCACCTGCCACCACCGGGCCCCAGTCAGTATAATCCATGCTGTCCTTCTGCTCATGTTTGATGCTCATCTGAAAGGGGTCCTGTTCCAGCTCCTTATAATCATCAATGTATTCAGGTATCTCCTCAAGGCTGGGATCTTTGCCAAGCAGAGACAGCTCCTTCAGGCTACTCACTTCCTCAGATGGCTCATTCTGGAGTCCCACGGAGTGGACCATGCTTGGGATCACTTGCCCAAATCCCAGCAGTGAGGCTGGCCTCTGAGAAGGCCTCAGCACAAAAGTAAGATAGGATTTTACAGTTTCTATTTTTTTAGGTTCACAGTTCTCCTTGTGTTGACAGTTCACGATGTAACAGCGACGTTCAAACATCCAGGACAAGTCACAACCAGAGAGGTCACAACACGCGGCGATGCAGTCCGACACAGACATAGCGTGAGGAATTCGCATAATTTTAGTGGTATCTAAGTTGGGAGATATTACTGCACCCGAGTACGTCGCTCCTTCTCTGCACTGCTCACAACTGGAACCTGAAACAACACCACCAACATAAGGCACAACACTACAATCAAGCCATAATATAGTTTACTGTGACCAAAAATGGCTTATCACAAGAAACAAGATAAAAACAGGTGGTACCCTGCTAAAATAAGCTCATTTCTTCTCACTGACATCATCACTACTCCGTTACTTTTTTTTCCCCAATGCATCCCTTTGCAGTAGCATTTGTACTTTGAAGGATTTTTCAGTATAGGATCTTCATATGTTTTGCAAAGTACTTTTTACTCCCTTTCTACAAATACATAAGAAATGAAAGTGAGTTGCCAATACTTAAAACCAGGAACAGAGCAAGAAACATGCACAAAAAAAAAAATGGGGTACCTCCATTTCCATTATCATAGCATAGTGAACAAAACATGTTTTAAAACAAAACTCAAATAAAAGGCTGTAACATATCATTGTTGCATTTCAGGGAGAAGGCAGCAAAATTTTACATAGAAGAAACATTTGCCATCTCACTTGAACTTCATTAAGAGTCACTCATACCAACCTAATTGCTGAACTTAATACAAAAACTGGGTGAGCTCTCCAACTTCTGCCACTTTAACCACTAGCTCATGAGAAATCACAAGAGGTCGCTCCAATACAGAGCATCTTTCCTTCCTGTGCAGTGAAGTACTTTTAGTATGTCAGCAGAATTATTTTTAAGCACATCACAGACTGAGTGTGAAGTGTTCAAATCAAGCATGAATCAACATACTGTGTATCTCGGTCAACTTTTAACGTCTTTTCTAGGTGCTTTTTCCTGGTTATAACTGCTCTTCAGAATTCCTCTCGCCAAAATGCAACTTGAAAAAAAAAAAAAAAATCTTATCATGCTTCAAAAATCAGTTGAGTAAAACCAGGACATTCTTCTTAACATGTTTTAAAACTAGACTTCCTAAGTCAACCAATGAAAACAAGATGAGACCACTGTGGAGCTCACACAGTAAGGGAAGATAAAGTTGACTGCTCTGTATATCATTAACAGTTAAGTTCTGGCAGTAGGAGCCTCTTTGTTCAGAACAGTATATGGCAGGACAAAAAGAAAAGGCAGCTTGACTGATTGATTCCAGCTCAAATCTGTTGAACTGATAAGCAGGAAAAATTAAATCAAAGAATAGGAATAAGATGGCAATAAGGGTTAGGTCTGGTCGTGACCTAGAGCCTCAGAGATGCAGATTCTCTTGTCCATGCACTGCGTCCAACCACCACACTACAGATCCCACCACATCTCCTGGGCTAAACTGCAGTACACTCTTCCACAATACGTGATCTGAATACAGCTACTGAAATACCTGTCAGGCATCATAGTGCCTGGGATCAATGTACAGCTTGCAAAGTAGATTAACTTCAATTCAAGAAGAAAAACAACCAACCAAACAAAAAGTTTACAAGAGTAGATGCACCAGTGCAGCCATTACATACATCCCTTCACAGGGAAACACTCAACACTTCCAACAGAGACGTGGACAATATGAACTAACCTGGCATACTGCATAACTCACTATAATCTCAAAGATGGTTATCAGACACTACACCATCTTGCCTTTGGAAAGACCTGTGTGAACCAGAACACATTACTAGAACACGTAGCCATGGCAGTATAAGTAAGAAAGAATGCACTGCAAACACAGGCTAGTGGTTCCACTACGATTTCAAAGACATGCCTACATCTTAAAGTGTCCTTTGTCCTGGCATGTGTTTCATGCCTTAGACACGAGGTAAGAAAAGGGTGCTCATTATTCTTCAAAGTCCAAGACCACCCATAGTGAAATATTTTGAAAATTGATGGCTTGCTATGCGTCTGGAAACATCCGCTCTCCCAGACTAAAGAAAAGGACACTGGTGATGTCTAGCAGACTCTGTGAGGCCATGTAATCTATGGCTGGGCTGCATGGAGTTCAAAACGAGACGAGGCTGCTCAACACCTGTGACTGCAATTATCTGCCAATCCATCTTCGCATTTTGTTGGAGTGGCTTATTTCAGAACAAAGCATCACAATATAAACACACAGTAAGAGAAAACTGAGAGCCAGTCAGGAGAACACTATTGTATTTCCAGAAATGCATTTCAGTAGCACTACCTGGAAGGTCTGCCACAAACGCCAGATTAGAATATGCCTGCTTCAGATTAATTGATTCCAAGGTCCTGGATTCCCAGTTACAAAGTAAATTCTTCCTGTGGTGGAAAGCAGTGGGGGGAGGAGTCAGTAATTTTTTGGATGCGTTACCCTTAAAACGATTGCTTTTTATTAATGGCCAGAATAATTTAAATCTATTTCAATTTAAGTTGATTTCATCAATGAATGGATATAAGCCAGTGAAATGAAACTGGCATTGTAAGGACTGCCTACTTGGAGAAAAGAGAAGCTGCATCTGCAGGTTTGGGAAGCTTCGTCCAAACTGCACCAGATGCTGAGTGGCAGAAGAATGGTACATGGTATACATGGTACCCACCATCTATCACCACATCCAGCTCAAGCCTCCCGAGAGGCACAAACTTGAGTCAGTGGTATGCATCTGATCCACTGGGTGACCTGTCTACTGTTCTAGCTGCTTTTCTTTTTTTTTAACCCATTGTATTGGGTTTATGTGGCAAGGTTTTGGTAGTCGAGGGTGGGAAGAAATGGACTGCAGGCATGCTTCTGTGGAAAGACACCAGAAGCTGTCCCCATGTCATTTCCAAGAGGAACTGACTGTTGGCCAATGCTGAGCCTATCAGCGACATTGGTACACTGGTACATCACCTTTTTGATGACATATTTAAGAAGGCGTAAAAAACACTGTACAACAGCAGGAGGCAGGAGAGAGGAGTGAAACAGGTCAGCACACACAAGGTCAGTGAAGAAAGGGGAGGAGATCCTGCAGGTGTCAGAGCAGAGATTCGCCTGCAGCCTGTGGTACAGACCATGGTTAAGCAGGTTGGCCCCCTGCAGCCCACAGAGGTCCATGGAGGAGCAGATATATACCTGCTGCCTGTGGAGGACCCCACACCAGAGCAGGTAAATAAGCCCTGAATCAAGCTGTGACCCTGGGGAGAGCCCATGTTGGAGCAGACTCCTGGCAGGAACAGGGGGAACGTATTTCTAGATCTGCTCTTACTTCTCATTATCCTACTCTAATTAACTGGCAATAAATTATTTTATCTATGTCTAGTCTAGTTAGCTCTTGAATGTAACTTGTATGTGATCTCCCTGTCCTGATCTTGGCCTGTGAGCTTTTAATCATATTTTTATCTTCTGCCTTGTTGAGAAGGGGTAGTGATAGAGCAACTTGCCGGGCACCTGGCAGCCAGCCAACATCAACCCACCATATTCATGAAAAGCAGTCAAAAACTATTAGCCAAGAGCCACCACACACAAAATAAAAGACTCAAACAAATATAATCTAAACAGGAAGGAGCAGACCTCCTCAAATTTCCTTTGATAAATGGCAGCAGATTCTTCAATACCCTTTTGAATATATTCCCTACTAAGCCCATTTCTCTATTCTCTGATAGATGCAATGTCAAGCCTTTCTCATTTGCCAGCCTTCTCATTATCTTATGTTAAAAGAAGTGGTAAGAAAACTTTTTTTCTCCTAAGTAGCTTTTAGAATCACAAGCTCATGTGCACAGAAAAACTGCAGAATGAACGTCTAGCAGCTTCATGAGCCCAAGTCAATCCATCTTAAAGCTTGCACTAAAAAGCAGTACATTTAACTTAACACAGGAGAGCATCCACTGATGTATTTCAGCAAATATATCCTGAAAAAAACAGCAAGTACCTTCCAGTTTAGAGCTCCACTTGGATGGAAAATACTGCAAATTACCAAGATGGAAATAAATACTAAAATTTATACTAAAATAATGTGTGATACCAGAATATATTAGCCCCTAAACACTGTGTTCTGGTACCCAAGATCCAGGGAGAGGCTTGGAATACAGCCAGCAGTCTGAGCATAATTATTTTGTTCTCAGGTATATCAAGAAAGCATAGCAAAATTGCAGCTAAAGAACAAAACCACTTTCTACATGAACACTGAGGATATTCTAGCCTGCTAGCAATTAACAGCATCATCAAAAATCTAAAACTGTGACATTCTACACAGCCAAAATTCAGTATTTACTGCACATTACTGCTTTCTTTTGAAGTGTTTTTTTTTTTTTTTAAAGATACTGACATGGACCCTACAGCAGGTACTCAGTATCTCACAGGAGAGCACTTTACTTGTTTACAGAAGGCATACTTATTATTTACTACAGTAACAAAAACCGCAGCTCCATGTTCTCCTCAAAAAGCTTGGCATTATAAGATGCCCAGGATGATTTTGAGGATTACTGCAAACCAGCCATGAGCACAGCTGTAGTTAATGCCCATCACCCCTCAGCTGTAGTTAATACCTACTCCTCGGCATCCAGTATTTCCAAATTCAGTAGTCCATGCAACCCTTATCACATTAGCAATGTTTATCCTCATGAAACATCCAATCCTGTTTATACTACAGGAGATGAAAGCCAGGTAACGGAGCATTATTTTTTAAATTCTTGCTAACATCAATACTGCCACTATCCCCACAGCCAGATTTCAGACACTCTTTTAAAGAAATACACACCATCCTTGAATATATTGTTCTGTAGTTGCCATGCCAAAACTGCCTGCACCAGAATAAATCTCCCTACGACACAAAACCAGTACTAAGAATTACTATTTGTTAACCTATCTGATTACTAAAGAAAGTAATTTACCTATGTCTTTGGCTGAAGCAGAAGCTTACAGGACTTTCCTGTGAGCTTTGAAAGGAAATACACGTCTGTAAAGCAGATGGTGAGATGAGAGATGTAAACAAATGCATTTGTGCTTCTCATAAATCAAGCATCTTATGATGTTCCAGAAGAAAATAGGCAGCTTAGAACATAAGCAATACATCATTCTTAAATTGTTGTCTTGCAAGAGAAAGAAGGAAAACTGAACTCTCCCACTACTCCTTCCTGCCCCATGCATCTGCACCGAAACATCCTATTGAAATTGGCTCCAAACAGCTCCCAGCTTTGTTCCTCCACTGCCACCAACTGCCAGTTATGTAGCTGTTAGCACTGAGGAGTCACAAGATGAATAAGGCAAGAGCTGGGACATATTTCATTCACACCTGCATATACACCCCAGGAGCACTCACTTGTTGTTCATGACTCAGACACACAAGAAGTAATATCCTACCTGTTATTGCCCATAGTAACAGGCAGAGAACACCAAGTCCAAATGCCATGCTGCACCAGGAAGGCAGTGACAACAGCTTTTCCAACCAGCTGTGTAGAAATTATGCGTCTTAATGTTGATTTCCTCTAATATTGTTTAGTACCCTGCTGTAGCCATGAAGCACTGCAACAAACAGGACAGGAAAAAATAGGTCAGATGTGAGCATTAATTAGAATAGAAGAGTAAAAGCCAATAAACAGGTTAAATGCAGGCTTTATTATTACTTCCTGACTTCTTGATGGATGACACAGTTTACCAGCCAAGGTGAAGATACAGAACAAATTACCTACCTGGAAATCTCATTCTCTGAAGATGCAGAAATGTCCCTAAAAGATTTGCATGGCTGTGTTTCTGTACCTCAAAACCCTCAGATATTCTGTCTTCAGTTATCTAGAACCCGGCTTTGCTCTGACTTTAAACAGAAAATAGAAAGTACTCTTAACTGAGGAATCATGGTCAGCATGTCCATGCTAAAATTCATGCAGTGTTAAATCAGCTCTTGAGATAGCCCTCAAGCTGGATACCTCCCAGCTATCCAGGTAATGCAAGCAGACACTTCTCCAGAATTCCTAGGTAAACTCCTTACAGGATACTGAATTCTCCAAATAAGGCAGCCTAAGCAAGAAACAGATCTACTAACAACAAATAGTTTGAAGTTGCATTACTCATGTGAGGACAAAAAAATTTAGCCAAACTCACACCCCCTCCCACATAAAGGATCCTAAGTAGATATTTGACCAAAAGACACTTCTGTAAATTGAAAACAGTGAGGTTTCTTTGGAGAACAGCCCTTCTCAAGGCAGAGCATCCCAGTCTATTCCCCGTGATTATTCATTATGTGACTTGTTAAACAGCTGTTAACAGCTGAGCCGAGCAACTGATGGTGTAAACATTTCTCCCAGGGAATTCACTGAGGAGTGTGAATGCCTCCCTGAGCTAGCCAGATCAGCAGGGGGAAGTGAATATGTGGCTCAGCCCAACAGAGAGTATAAAAACTGAACAACAGAGGAATTCTGAAGAGTGCAAGGGGCTTGAACTGGCTTCAACTCATGCCTTCCTTCCCAGTTACAGAGGATGCCCAGTGTTACAATGGCGAGCTGAGTATAGAGACCAGCAATCAGAATCACACTGGTATTGCAACTGAACTGTATCCAGCCACTGCTATATTTTGCCAGGTGTAATGTATATTTGCATTGTAATTTCAGCATATTTGTATTTTGTTGCTAAATCGGAAATCCCACATTACATCTCCAGATAAGTGAATCTGATATTAAACATTACACCCTCCACAAGTGGAACATCTAAAGGAGTGTGGTCAGAGAGTACTGGACAACTCCTCAAGTCTGTGGTACAAACACTAACTGCGCTCAAGACATAAGCAAAATGACCACAGAACATCACTAAAGCAAGGAGAAAATAACAGATTAGGTTTAAAAACAAATCCTAAGTAAAAAAAAAAAAAAAAATATATATATATATATATATATACACACATTTGGGCAAGCTCCCTGCAAAACCAGGAAAGACTATTACTAACTTTCCAAAATTCTGGTACCCAATTTAAAATCTTACTTGACTTTTGTGACCTTTGTTCTATCCAACATCAATAAAACTCCTCTTCCTAAAACAGCTTATCTCTGATGAGAAGTAACTGTCACCAAAAAACCCCACAAAACATATCACACCACATTACACTGCTTCTAGAATGACACTATTTCAGTATCTGCAGTTAGATGTTCTCTCGGGAAACAGTTCCTGACAGAATACACTGAATAGCTACAGAACAGCCATGCTCCTCTTTAGTGAATAGGACTAATTTAGAGTGAATAGGACTAATTTAGGAAGGCTTCACCTTAGAAAGATCAACAGGTTGTCTGGATGCTTACAAGTACCACTCCTATCAGACAAACTCTTCAGCAATAGCACCATTTTTAGTCTTGCATTCCCCCATTGCTCTTCCTTCCTTCCATCTATAAAGTTATGGTTTTTATAACAGATAAAAAGCCCCAAAGCTTTTTTTTGTTTTTGTTTTTTTAAGCCAAATAGTTCCAAAAGTACCACTTAGCATGCAGAATCATTTCTATAATGAAATGTCTAAGAGGCTGGTAAAGCATGACTGTCCCTTGACGAATCTATCCTGGCTCTCAGCTATACAGGCAGTTATCTCTAGATGACTTCTTAAGCCTTTCAAGCTGAACCCACCAGCATACACCTGGCCATTTTGATCATTTGCACATCCATTCTAACACATTATCCAAAGTGATTATTTTTTAGTGTTTTATTCAAGAACATTCAAACTAAACCAGTGTCATACAGAGCATACAGTTTCTATAAACTCCAATATTTTAGAGTGTTTCTGTTGCTTTTGAGAATGGGAACAGAGGAGCACAGATAGGACGGACAACCTAGTATGTATTTCCAACTTATTAACACATACACCCCAAATACCTCAACAGACTGAGAGGGAGGGAAGATATTATGACAAGACATAATTTCACATACAGCCTTTTTCCAGTTTCTATGGAAATCTCTCTAGATTTGGAAAGGTTGTTAGCTACCAAAACCTGTGATTTGCAGAAAAGCTTATTGAAACTCAAGGTTTCTGAGTTACTGTGCATTTGCTGTAACCTTCACTCCTTTCCAGAAGCAGTCAAATGGACCAGATGCCTAAGACAGACTTTTGGTCCTTTAGCCTAAGGAAAAATGCATCAGGCTCAGTATCAGAACATCACAAGGACAGAACACTGATCAGAGGCAGAAAAGTAATTTTTATAGGTCTTTTTCCTCTGCAAGGCAAACTTCACTATCTCACTGTGACTAAAAGGAGCAGCTTCTGTCTCCTGCGTAATAGTTGACTGATAAGTCCACATGACTACTTGTAACAATGCTATGAAAAACATTAAGACACCACATAAATGATCCTGATTTTTGCAGCATTACTTGTCCTGAGTTCAGAAACACAAGCACTTGTAGTAAACAGTGGTGGGTTATTTTTCTGGTTAGTTTTTCTGTGTGCCAGTATTTGGTTGGTTGGTGTTTTGTTGTTGTTGGTGGTTGTTTTTATTTATTTATTTATTAAGAAAATGGATTACCAAAGCTACAAAATACTAGACTTGGGACTGCATGCACAATCTTCCTTGAATCCATACGAGACACACAATGTGAGGACACAGTGAATGCACAAATGCAGCACTGTGTCCTCCCATGCTTCCTTGCAGCTACACATCTATTGATGCTTAATTTCCACATATCAGAAGTTGCATTCCCTGATATTAGAATCAAGCTCAGACACAAAGCTCACACAGTAACAATTCAGTGCATAGGTTCTGATCCACAGATGAGAACGTAATTACCAAAACCTGCATGCTTTCTTAAACAGTTATGACAGTAAACACTGCTGTAGTGTACATATGCAATGTTCCTCTCACCTTCCCCATGATACTGTACTGTTCCCGAGCGTAAGTTTCATCACACGAACACAAGAGACATCAAATTTTAAGGTGGCCAGCCATGATATTCCAGCAGTTAAAAATAACGAAGGCCGCAAGATTTTCTAGCTGAATTCCTATGCTTCACTGGCATCACAAAGCCCATTGTCTTTGTTACAACAGGAGCAGACAGCACTGCTGGTAGTAACTGCGGAATTGCTTGGCTCTTAACAGTTCAAGTCTGACTCCCACACTTAGCTAGATGAGGAACTGCAGCCTTGAGACATTTATAGGCAGATGTGGTAAAAATATACAGGTATTGTACATATACATATATACTACTCTGAAAGCCATGTTTTCCTGTTCCAGCTGCCAGCTTCTGGCAATGCCTTAGCCAACAGGAGAAGCGGGAATTCTAAACTGATCCTTCAATACAAGCATTTCGACTTTACGATCTTTTAAACATACAGAGTTGCTCATCAGGACCACAACATCTTTTGTTAAATAACACATGAAGTATGACAGCTTTCCAAGGAAAAGGAATTGGCTGTATTGCCCCCCTTCACCTCAAATCTCACCCTGCATTTGGTTCACCTGGACTCAAGTAATTTTCTCCCTCAAAGGAAGAAACAGGCCAGCCAAGTAGAGTTATCCTGCCACCTCCTACACCTAATTAGACCAGGACTATAACAGTAAAAACATGTACAGACCGAATTACCTGTACATTCTGGGAATACATTCAAATCCTATACAAGCAAATAGAGCATAAGGCGATATACCAGTGCTCTACAAAAGGTGTAGTAGAATCCCTTCACGCTAACAAAATCGGATACAGGAACAAGCAGTGTCATGAAAGCAGCCAGAGAGAACAATGCCAGACAGCAGAAATCTCCAGGAGAACAAGGGTCCTCAACAGCCACAGCTAGCACTGGTAGAGAAGACAAGCAGGGACTTCTCACGTCCTTATCTTTCTGGTCATTAGAAGAGCTAGGTAACAAGCCAGAAGAAATACTGAAACAGCATCTGAAACTCAAGCCACAGCTAAAGCAAAACACCTGTTTTTTTTAACTGACAGCATCTCTCATAAAAAGCAGGACAGCTGAATAAATGAACACATTACCAATTTGGTGGTCGTATTCTTAATGCAAGTGTCTATATACATATATACACACACATCAATGCTTCTACTAAACGTAAGACATTCTTTCAGAAAATCCACCCTTCATGAAGAATTCAAATCAGTTTTTTCATTAGCTCTTGTACCTGTATTAATACCTGAGCCAGTTCGTTAATAGCTGAGCATTAACATTGTACTAATACTGTAGAAGAAAGTAAAACAGAACTTCATGGCAGTAGCATGTCTAACACCACAAAAAAAAAAAAAAATCAGAATATGTGGAAGCACTAGGAGCTTCAACATTAACAGATACTGTATGAACACACACAACATCAAAACAGCCACACACTAGGCATCTAAATAAAAGGAATAATTTTCAAGCCCTTGAGCAGATATAGAAGTTATCACAGACATCAGTACTTATGATCTATGCAAAGTCACCTTCCTCTCACACAATTTTCTAACAATAGGTATCTGTACCTGAAAGCAAGACCACGATTACTGATGGAAAGTTATTGTAGCTACAGGATGTAGCTGTAATTACAAACATCTCTCTGCTTCATTCAGAGGGGCTCCCA